CTTCTCTTCTCTTCTCTTTTCTCTTTTCTTTTCTTTTTGGCATTACCTCCAGTAAATCAGAATATGAGATTAAGCTACATGAAAGATAATGATTAGTTTCCTTCCATTCACTACAATGTTCCTCCTACCTGTATATTTCATTTAAGTGAAGAATTCAAATCTACCAATATATCTTTCTCCTCCCATGAAAAATAGAAATAAAATAAGCTATRTAAAGGATTTAGTTACTTTATTTTTAAGTCAGACAAAAATGAAAGATTACATTCATCTTTCTCAGCAGTAAATACCATTTCCCAGTGACAAAGTTAGTAGTGTACTTGATTGAACTGGCACAGCTATTAATGTACTGCACAGACACAGAGCTGATACTTCCATTCATTAATCTAAAGTTCCAATCTTAGCATGCTGACACAGCTACAGGCATCCATGCAGATTCAGCCCAAGTTAACAATTAACACAACAGCTTCAAAGCAGTGCTTAAATACTTAAAAACTCCACAAAATAACACAACTGATGAAAACTACTGTAGATAAAACAGATGGTGGTAATAATCCTCCGCACGTATATGCTGATGTCTGTGGAGATGGAGGTTAAATTAAAATTTCTGTCCTGCTTCATGTGCTCGCAGCCTGCTACCTTCAATCACAGTGCAGATCGAGCATTATTCCTTTGTGACTTTATTTCTTTAAAAGTGAATTTCTATTTCTGCGCATTCTCGTTGTTTTTCTTAGACTTTTCAAAGCTTGGAGGCATTCCTGAGGATAAAAGCTGCACTTTYATGAAACACTAACGAGGCTCTGTGAAAGCTGAATCTGTAGACACCTCACAAAATATTATCAGCTCATAACTAGTAATAACACCAACTACATTTCTTTAACTGGTACCAACTTCATGCACCACTTGGGTCATATTTATCWTGTTTATCCACTCAGCTTAAATGAGCAAGCACACTTTTGCATACAGACAAGGCTGTGGGCCAGATTCTGTATACTCATAGCAATGCAAGTCTCAAGTTATGCCAAATAATGTCACTGAATTTGGCGCACCAACTGCACAAGACCAGCAAAAGCCCTGGGAACACAGTATAGGTACTGCCTGGTGCCTGCTCCTCAAAAGAAGCTGTGAGAGACACAGGAAAGAGATAAAATAACTGGGGCCAGCATGTCTGGTGCAATTCCTCCTTCTCGCTCTGCAGAAAGAAGGATCCCTTCCAACAATTTCAGGACGGCTACAAAAGCCTAGAAAAGGACCAGTGATTTGCATGAGAGACCAATCTTCCCCCTCTGGGAAGGAACAATGCAATACTGTGAATCGTATGGTGAATACAAAATAAAACTACCAGGACAGCAGTTCTCTTTGCCATGACTCCAGCTGGTCCTCCCTCCAAAGAGCATAATGCCGTGACAGGGAGGTAAAAGCATTTTTAAAGGCTTTCTAACAGCTAAGAAACAAAAAAGAAAGCAAACAAGGGTTTTTTCACAAGAGAAAGGGGGTAGAGGAAAGAAGAAAGATACATTAATAGCAAAGGGATCTACCATTTCAGCTGGGAAGTTTGCTCGGCATTTGGCTTTCTAGAAGGATTTTGGCAACTGAATGGAAGGAAGCAAAACTAAAAAAAAAAAGAAAGGTTCAGAACGAAAAAAAGGTATCATATCTCTTAAAAGTTTATCAGTCACAATTAGTAGTTAGGGTAATTTCTCGAATGGTTTCTGGAAGGGGAGTCTGCTGGATTTTGATATGACTGGTTTGCAACGTCTCCAAGAGAGGGGCAGGGAAAGACCTCTGACCATCACATCTCACTTCTCTGATCTCACTTCTCTGATCTCAATGTCTCATTCAAGACGGGCATCTTCTGGTACTACTTCAGAGCAGCAAGCATGATGAATTCTCTTTCTCTCTCTCTCTCCTTCTTCTTGTCCTTCACATTTTCTAACTACATTAATTACTGTTAGTTAAAAGATGGTGTGCGCAAATGAAAATAGAAGTGTAGACCTTTTAATTCAGATTCTCTTTACACTAAAAAAAAATCACTGTACTTTATGAACAGGATGAGCTCCCTCTTCCATTATTATTTAATAATCACAGTCTCATAACTAAAGATAAAATTTATGTTATATTGTGGCAGGCAAATGTCTGTGGAGRTCTAAAAGAAAGCACACCATGCTAGGCTGTGTTTCTGATCTGGGGTGGGAGTASGAGTGTCAGCGGGAGAAAGGTGTAACAATCTTGCATGAAATATGTGGTTTATCTGCACTTAATCGTCTGCTAAAACACATTTGTTTATATGTGTCAAAACCTGGTACATCTACTACACCACTTCAACAGAGAGCAGTGTCACAAAAAAAAGATGCAAAGTATGGCACCAGTTAAAAATGTTAYATTAAAATGTATATTAAATTTGTCACTAGCATGAGACCCTTACGGAAGGTGACAAATAATCATTATTATATCAGGACTTCCCATATAAACTACAAAAAAACCCAGTATAATAGTCTATATAATTAGACTCCTACAAAAACCCTTACTTCTCAGGTGGCTGATGGCCCCCATTTTTAGCTGAGATATCCATCATTCACTTCTTTGCTTTATTCTGTGTGAACACAAACAAGTAATTAAAACTATGTGCCACAGGACTAGGTTACCATCCAGTTCTTCAATTACTCAGTAAAATTGTCTTAAAAATTACTGTATAGATAGAATATTGCTAAAGCCCCCAGAGCAGGCAAATTCTTAATAAACTTAATGGAATTTTACTCAGATAAGCACACAAAATTACAAATCCCAATAATATTTCAACCGCAACTAAAACACAGGATGAAAAAAATCACTTTTAACTTACTTACTTAATTAAATGCCACTGTGTGCACACAAAGCTTCAGCCTACTTATGAGAACTACAGCAAAGCTGACTTCTTTTATCCACACATACAGGTTTTCAGATGTTACCTCTGATCTACTGTGTGTTSCCCAGATATAAAGAAAAGAGCTATTTGCTGGATGTCTAACTTCTCTTTTCTTTTTATCAAGTATATAATTCTCTCTCCTTCTTTCCTTATAAATTTCTTCCCATCCCTCATTTTCACAATACCCTCTCTCTCATTTCTGGCATCTCTTTTTCTCTTTACCATTATCATCTTCATGTGAAAGAAAACTAAAATGGGGAACCAGAAAACTAAACTGAATTTCTTTCCATTGTCACACATTGTCTCTCCAATAATTCTTCTAATTACATCCCAAATTTTGTTGCTGTGACAGTGTTAACTTCTAGCTCCTATTTTTAGGAGTTTTAGCCTTGAGGGTTACAGTTTCATAGCATCAGAGAAACGTAGCTGAAATACTATTTTTATGAAGACCAAGAAATCTCTAAAGTACCAAATGTCCATTCTTTGGGCTGTTTTGAAAACACAGAGACATGCTGTTKGTCTGATAAAATACCCATGAAGGGTGGCAGCGACTGCACTGGAGCGATATGCTCAGTGAGCATAGCTAAAGAGTATGTGCAGCATGCTAGCTAAATGAAGTTGTTTCAATGTGTTCATCTACTGAAAAACATGACAAAGCATTGCATTTACTTCTGGAAAGGTGTGTGTGAATTGCAGGCGTCACCAAGACAAATCTTTGTATCACTCTGAATCCACTAGAAGGAATATGGTGATAAGCTTTCTGAAATGTGTGGTTTAACATATATGCCCATGTATCACTAGTGAATGTATTTTAAGTGTTAAAATTAGATTTTAGTGCCATTTTGCCTTCATACATCTAGATGAAATCTGATTTCATTCCACCTCTTCTCTCACCCCAGGGCTGTATCAATTTACAACATACAGCCTCCAGAGAACTGTGAAATTCTAATAAGTTTAACTGATTAGGGTTGTTTTCTCCCCTTAAGTATCTTCTCACTTACTGTCTGGCATTATTTTAAAAAACATAACATCTTCATCAGCCTCTAAAATCAAATTTCCTTTAGGGGGTGGAAGGGGGGCAGGGAAGAGGAGAGAGAAAGGAGAGGAAAATGAAGATAAAACCCTTCTATTCCCAGTCAATATGAATATGCTACGTCCGAAACAGCCATCCTGAATGTCTGTCTAATTCTACAAAATAGCCACAGTCATTTAATATACACTTCGCTTACAAAAATCAACAAACAATTAGGCAAATTTTTAGTTGAACATGATCATCAGCATAAAATGATGAAGATAAAAATATACAAGAAGTRTAAGAGTCTCCAATTTCCCATAATCTTGACTAACTATTTGAAACATGAATACCTTCTTGCTGCAAAACGTTTCTGTGGAAACCAAACAAAAAATGTCTCCTTAAAATACTTTGGAAAGCGGAGGCAAAATTCTGGTTATAATCAAAGGACTTTGTTTAGCTTTTGGAGATTCATTTGTTTGTTTTGTTTTGTTTTATGGTGAGGATATTTATTTGTAGTGAATTGTTGTTGTTTTTTTTTTTTTTTTTTTTTAATACAGTGCTCTAGATATTCCTATTTTAATGTGCTACAACAAAAAAAAAAAAGTATTATTAATGACAGAGTTTTGCAACCTTACATACTACACAGCTATTCCACACATTTAACTCTCCAAGCCCATGTGTAAGCATAGAGCAATGCACTAGAAATTAYAAATAAAAGCCAAACCTCTGGTTTTAAAGCTAACTTGAATACAGTACACTGATACTGCTATTCTCAACTCAAAAGCTATAACTACTTCAACAATGTTGAAAAATAAATGCCAAGTATTTTGAAGCAAACCAGTGCAGGGATAGGCTTGT